AAAAAAAAAAAAAAAAAAAAAAAAAAAAAAAAAAAAAAAAAAAAAAAAAAAAAAAAAAGACATTAAAATTACCACATGATCTGAAGCTCTCATCCAGAAGAAAAATAGAACCCGAAAACATTGGCAGCGATGCAGATCACTAGTCATGAAACCATTCTTCAATTCCCTTGTTCTACGCACAGGTGCACCTTTACCAACGTGCAAGACAAACCAAATGCCAGTTATGAAAAAAAAAAATGCAATCTAAACTCTTTCGAACCTGCAAGTCAACAGAAAAATTGGTCCTTCTCAGGGCCATCACAGTTCGAATATCGCTACTTTTTCTAACTTGAAATAGGATAAGCTCATTCTCGGAAAATTTGAAATCTTAGCGTAGTGTTATTAAGTAGTATCTTGCTAAATTCTAAGTTTTGGAGTGGCGATGAAATATCAGCGTAAAATTAGTAAGAGATTTTGAATTGCAGTTTTTCGTAAATTTGTTGGTGGCCCTGAAAAGGGCCGATGTACTTCTCTTGATTGTTTAGGTACGTTCACCTCGGACACGCCTTGCCAGTTGAATGTCCTTGGGCATGATGGTCACCCTTTTGGCGTGGATTGCACAGAGGTTTGTATCTTCGAATAACCCAACCAGGTAGGCTTCGCAAGCTTCCTGGAGTGCCATCACAGCGGAACTTTGGAAGCGAAGGTCAGTTTTGAAATCCTGAGCAATCTCACGGACTAGGCGTTGGAAGGGCATCTTGCGCAACAGTAATTCCGTACTCTTTTGGTAGCGGCGAATTTCCCTGAGGGCGACGGTACCGGGCCTGAAGCGATGGGGCTTCTTCACACCGCCTGTCGCCGGAGCGCTTTTACGAGCTGCCTTGGTTGCTAATTGCTTGCGAGGAACTTTTCCACCAGTGGATTTGCGAGCGGTCTGCTTGGTACGAGCCATTGCAGAGTTCCCGGACGTAAACTGTTGATGTCTTCACTGACTGAAAGACGAGACCAGAATGATCACTCGGGGTCGAACTCTTGGCAGCTTCTAAATCGTATCCCCCCACCATATCAGTTCTGTAAAAAAAAAAAAACTATCCCCTCTACTACGCTTCTATTCGCTGCACCACTATCTTCTCCCACCACTGCTGTCGGTAGAAACATGGTGGGGGTGTGTTTCGACAACTCGAGCTGTCAAACGACGAGTCAGCGTTAACTCATAACTTCTGTGATCCTTCACTAGAACAGATAGCTCTAAATCGTGGTAAGACGGGAAAAGGTCTGGGTAAAGGAGGTGCCAAGCGTCACCGCAAGGTTCTCCGGGATAACATCCAGGGTATCACGAAGCCCGCAATCCGCCGTTTGGCCCGTCGTGGCGGAGTGAAGCGAATCTCTGGCCTCATCTACGAGGAAACCCGTGGTGTACTGAAGGTGTTTCTTGAGAATATTATCCGGGATGCCGTAACTTACACCGAACACGCTAAGAGGAAAACCGTGACCTCCATGGATGTCGTATATGCACTCAAGAGGCAAGGTCGTACGTTGTATGGATTCGGCGGCTAGAAAATCATTCGCATCAACCGGCCCTTTTCAGGGTTCATACCAGAAGTATAATCGAACGTTCCTCGAAAAAAAAAATTTCGCGTCTCCGGAGCTCGGTACTACCTTAAAAACATCGGTTTTACAATTTCAACATAATTGACAAGGCTTAAGTAGTTTGAATTGTTAGAAAAAAAGTTAATACCTCGTACCAAAAAGAAAATGCTATTTGAATTTTCGAATTGAATTAAAAGGAAAAAATATTTTAAAATCAAGATAGACCCACAGCGGTGGCGAAAAGTAACTACACGCTTAAACCTAGTGATAATGCTGTAGTGGCAGCACTGGCACGAGTAGGGGCGACACCGAGCTGTCGTCACATGATATCTAACTGGTCTGCTTGGTCTGCTCTCTTCCAGGAGAGGACATAGTCACGCCCGCGGCTGCGTGACATCAGTGAAGTGCGAAGGAAAGATAAAGGTTGAAAAGCCTAGAATCCAACAATTCAGGTGAAGCCGACAGCAGTCCTGGCAAGTTGTTTGAAAGACAAGCAGCCGGTAGAACCATGAAGCTCCGATACTTCCTCGGCTCTGTCTTCGCGACGAGTGCCTCGGCAATAATTCTCATCTTGGGTGCGTGTTTCATTGAATTTTCTTCTTTTTCCTGTTTTTCATGTAATTTCGGTGTTAGGGGTTAATTTTTAATAATCTTTGGGCTTTACCTTGAAATCCACTACGTTCATGGCCTCGAGCTGGACATGGTCTTGCGCCCTAGTCTTATGTTACCTTGTGTTGACCAACATATAATTGATTAATGGCAAGCATTTTATTTTGGTTGCAGTACTCTACCATGTTCTTACTGGTCAGGGAGAACGTGTCAGTATAGGATGGTAAGTTTACTTATGTCCTAATTGTTTATTTCATTATTTCGACTATTGTACACAAGCAGTCTTAAGTATGTACTATATGGACATTATTGCGTTTGCAGGTTTCTTGAAAATACTTCACCGTACATGTGGGCTACTCTTGGTATTGGTCTGACTGTGGCACTTTCTGTCGTAGGTGCAGCTTTGTAAGTTTATATTTTTATATTTTTTAAAAACCATTGTTCTACAAAATCACATGACCTATAGTTTTCTTATATGTTCGTTCTTAGTCTAATTTATACGTTTCCCCAATGTGATACACCAATAATTTTTTCAGGGGCATTCACACGACAGGAGTCTCTATTGTTGGAGGAGGTGTCAAGGCACCCAGAATCAAGACAAAAAACTTAATTTCTGTTATCTTTTGCGAGGCTGTAGCTATTTACGGTCTGATTACAGCCATTGTATTATCTGGACTACTTGATGAATACAATCCAGATAAGTTGGAGGAGAACATTGTTTTAAAAGGACAAAATTTCATGTCAGGGCACATAATGTTCGGCGCCGGCGTCGCAGTTGGATTTGTGAATTTGTTTTGTGGCATTGCTGTTGGAATTGTAGGCTCTGGTGCTGCTCTGTCTGATGCTGCCAATCCAGCACTTTTTGTTAAAATTCTGATTGTAGAAATCTTTGGCTCCGCCATTGGTCTTTTTGGACTTATTGTCGGCATTTACATGGTAAGTATTTACAAATGTTTGATGTCTGTACTTAATATTTGATGACACATAATCTGGAATATTTTTTTACCTTGCAGACTTCAAAAGTTAAAATGGGAAATGATTCTGGCTAAACGTCTCGTTTTACGTTGTCAGATGCACAAAACTGAAAAGTACATTTATTAAGGAAAAAAAAAAAAACAAAAAAAAACAAAACGTCAACTATTATTCCTTACAAAACATCGTTTAAGAACTATGAGTAAAAGGGATTATTCTGGACAAATGAAGAATCTTAAAACAAAAAAAGATAAGAAAAACAGAAATATATGTATTAAAGTTACGAACAGAAATTTGAATAAGCACGTTCTTGTGCTGTACTAAAAACAAAAAACAAAGACATGTTACTGGTTTAAATCAAGTCGCTTCACTTTGAGATCCCCGCTCCTATAGTCTCAAAGTCTATCAACGACCTTTGTTGTCTTGTTATTAGTTATTGTTGTAAATATTATTTAAGCTACTACGTTTAACATTTATTTTTTAAATAGTTTGATTTAATATTTTTTATTTCATTGTATTTTACCGCAAAAAGACCCAATTTCAATTATGTAAAACAATAACTTGGTTGAAGTTGCATGATTTCTCAATTTTCGTNACAAGAATAATGAAAAAAAAAAAATAAATAATAATAATAATAATAATAATAATAATGATAATTAAAATAATAACGGCAAGTTTTTCGTGATGATGGGTATAATTATCTCGAGAGGGCGGAAAAGCAAGGGGCGTACGATGTAAGATATACAAACACACATGCATTTGAACGTCTATCTGTATTACGCACAGAGGTACGTATAGGTATGAATATATGAAATAAAATACGCGTGTATGAACAAGAGGCGGGCGACCGGAGAACAAGCGAGCGAGAGAATTAGGGACTAGCAGACGTGGCTGTCTCCTCTCCTCGGTTATCGTTTGTGTGTTATTCTCTTGGCATGGGACGGAGAATCGATCTGCAGGCTACTCGCTCGCCGAAATTCCCTCGCAGAAGTCGAGCCGGAAGACGTCGGCAAATGCCGTTTAACTGTCAAGTGCTTCTTTACATTTAATGTTACACCAATCTCAATTCTATTCTACTAATACATCGTATACCTATGGGTGTGCGTGTACATAAGCAACTTAAGTATGTGCCAGAGAAAGAGAGAGAAAAAGATCTTTCCGTTGAGAGCCTCATCCCTAGTGGCTCCCTATCGCTGCTGTAATGCTGTTGCTCCATTTTTCCTTTTTTTCTATCTAGGTGTACGAAGCGTAAACAAGAGCCATGGAGAGGAAAAAAAAACCCCCGTAATCGCGCTTTACAGTAGCGAGAGAAGCAGGTCAGTGTGATGAACTTACCGGGAGATGCTCCTGGAACCTGATGGGCAGTAGCTGCGTCATGGTTTTCGACTGAGCGGCAGCTCTCTTCGCCTGCTGCTACTACACCACCACGACTACCAACTACCTCCTCTCCACCTCTGCCCCTCTGGCCGACAAAAGCTAGTGATACTAGCAAGTATAACCGAGCTCTTCCTCGAGAGAGAGAGTCGAGAGGCGTCACAGAAAGTACTTGCACAGCTTTGATTTGCTGCTAAGCCTAGCCTAGCTTGTACTTTAATCTATAATCCTTTCCTCTGCAAGTCTGCAGTGTGCAATGTCTGCATTTATATTGCACGGACACTATATGATATGTAAAAGTGTATGTATATGGATGTACAATAGTACAATCACAGTGTACACAGTTACACACACCTGAAACCTTAAACAATTCGATACACAAGACTATAACTATTATACGTTCCTAATTGTATTATACGAACGAAAGTTTTGTCTTAAAGTTATCAGTCTCTAGCGAGTCTCGCGTCGGTGCCTCGAACAAAAAATACACTACACCTGGGTAAGTTCAACCTGTCTCTTGGTTTACTGTCGCGTGCGAAACACGACACGGGCAAAATCTACCTCTACTTACAACCCACGACGACCAAACTGGATGCTCTTTTTCTCTCGCGTAACGTTCTCTCTCTCTCTCTCTCTCTCTCTCTTTCTCTTTCATGTGCCTTTCCTTTCGCATTTTGATACATTTGATACTTACCTACATTCATGCACACACCCATGTGTGTATGTACATACATATACAAAATACATAATGTATATCTACTTGTGTAGGTTGGTCGATCAAGTAGGGGTCTACTTCTCTGCTTGCTGATAATTATCAGCATTATAATTGTTATTGAAAATGAAAATTGAACAAACAATATTACCTTTTTGTTTTCAACAAATAATAATAGTTCATCGAATAATCGAAAAGATTGTTACTAATTCAAAGACATTTTAAAAATAGTTGCAATCGTTAGAAAGAGCCTGATAAATATAGTGATTTAATTAAACCATAACACGAATATTCTCTTCGAATGCAATGGAACAAAATAAAATTTTTTTTTTGTTTTTTTTTTTTTTTTAACAGAAAAATATTGAATACTAAATTTAAAAATGATCTACCTAATTGATGTAGAGTAAATACAGTTTTATTAAAATATCATGAATATAAAAAAAACCTAAGTGTAACAATGAAGTGTAAGTTGTACAATCGCGTCTGTAGTAAAAATTACAATTCGTAATCAAAGTTGTTTGAATATTGATAGAAGTAAAAAGCAACGAAGAGCATTAAAAATTCTTTCGGATCAATTCAATTGAATTAAAATGCATGTAGAATTGTTATCAAAAATAATTTTTCAAGAAAATACCTCTGATAAGTAATTGCAAAAATGCTCATCAACACAACACTTACGACGCCGACTACACGACAATGAGTAGTGTGCTTTTCTTTTTTCGACCGTTACGTTACGTTAAACCTTTCTCTTCTCTCATGTATACACATATGCACCGATAGGTATATTATATCCTGCTTTTTACTTTTAAAAATCTCTTTATTTATTACTTTTGATTACAGGGTATATACATAATTTCACTTAGTGATTAGTATGCTGTATTGTAATTTTTGTGTTAGTTTTAGGTTCAGCTGTTGGCGCTTTTACTCTAAGTTAATACTTTGTTTTTGATTTTATAAATTATGAACGATATATGAATGTTACTTATTATGGTTTGTGGGTTTTGTGAAAAAGGATTTGGTAAAAAACACATTAATTTTGTTTGGCCTTACTTACTAGAGCTTAAAACTAGGTAACAAGAGAACTTACTGACTAGCGTTTTGCTGCTCCTGATGGTCACTGCGCAGCAAATGGTAGGGTAGTTTGTGTTTAATTTTAAATGGTGCATTTTCTTTGTTATAAAATTTAAAGTCTGCGAGGGCGTCTGCCTTGTGCAACTGATATTTGTAAAATTTATTGGTGTGATCAAGTACTATTTCTTTGATTGTCTTTATTCTGAGTTGATTCCTAATTTTTTTATTGCTAGTTCTGGGTTCGGCATTAATTATTTTCCTTAGTATTTTGTTTTGGATTATTTCTAGTTTATAATAGTTGCTTTCACAAGTATTGCTCCACACCGGTGAGGCGTACAATAGCACAGGTCGTATAATCACTTTGTAAATTAATAACTTATTTTTAATTGACATTTTGCTTTTCCTATTAAGTAGGTTGTGTAAGAGCGCTGATGCTGCTTGTCCTTTTTTTCGGATATTTTGGATATGTTTTGTAAATGTAAGACCCTTGTCTAGTGTTACTCCTAGGTATTTCACTTGCGTGGTAGGTTTGATTTTAGTTCCATTCATGTCTATGTAAGCATTTTTATCGCATGGCTTATCTTTGCGTTTGCTGAATATAATTAGTTCGGTTTTTTTATCGTTAATTTTTATTTTCCATTTTTCGAAGTATTTACGCATAATGGTTATATGCCTTTGTATATATTCAATTGCTTTCTTTTTTGACCAGGAGGAGGCCAGGATCGCTGTATCATCTGCAAATAATGCTAGGCTTGTATTTGTATGCTTCGGTATGTTATTAATGTAATATAAAAAGAGTATTGGTCCTAGGATAGACCCCTGTGGGACTCCAGCATGTATGTTTTGTAAACTAGAATTATGATTTTTGACTGAGACTGTAAAGGTGCGATTTTTAAGATACGAATAAAGAACTTTATTTATACATAATGGTATGCCGACCTTGTTAAGTTTGAATATCAAACCTTCATGCCACACGGTGTCAAAAGCTTTTTCGATATCTAAAAGGAGCATGGCAGTTGATCTGTTTAGATTATAATTTGTTGAGATTTCATTTGTAATTCTAGCGAGTTGTTGTATTGTACTATGATGGTGTTTGAATCCAAATTGTTCTTTTATTATGTTTTTATTTTTTGCTTCAAAGCTACGAATTCTATTTAGTATTATTGTTTCAAAGATTTTGCTGTGAGTGCACAGGAGGCTAATAGGCCTGTAATTTTGGGGAAAATTTTTTTCTTTTCCAGGTTTAGGAAAGGCCAATATGTTAGCATTTTTCCACGCTTTCGGAAAATATGAATGTTTAAGACAGCTATTAAAAATATATATTAGACACACGATTGCTTTGCGAGGAAAGTTTTTTAATATTATATTTTGGATCCCGTCCTCTCCTGGGGCCTTTTTTGGTCTTGTATTTTTGATAGCTTTAATTATTTCACCGTAGGAGACAAGCTCTATGGTGTCGGTATCTACGTCGCTATTTACAATGTTGGTTACGTTATTTTTGACAAAATCATCGAAGTTTTCTGTGCCGAAGTGATCGGTTAGGTGATGTACCCTTTCGAATTGCCGCGCGAGTACATCCGCTTTCCCTTGGGAGCTGAAGACTAGTCCTTGTGGGCCATGAAGTGGTGGAATTTTTGAATCTCTTTTTTTTGTAAAATATTTTGTCATTTTCCATAGTGTGTTGTCTTGGACTTTGAGTGTTGTTAGTTTATTATCCCAGTTTTTATTATTTCTATTTTTAATTTTTTCAGTAATAAGCTTTGCAAGTTGATTTCTAGAATATTTAATTTGTTTTTTTTCGTCTAAGTTTTTGGCCTTATTGAATTGTTTTCTTAAACTATTTCTTTGTTTAATTAGATTTTTCGTTTCTGGATCTATGTTATTTACATTAAAATTTTCATAATTTCTGGGTATCGACTTCTCCATGGCCCACTTGACGTCATCTGTTAGCTTTTTGACGCACATATCGATATCCTCTATGCTCGCTGGTTTACAATTTAAGTTAATGCTATTACTTAATAATTCACGAAATTTTCGCCAATCAGCTTTTTTATAATTTAGATAACTCGATTTTGTTTTACTATATTTGACTTTGAAATTTATATTGACCAGCACCGGTAGATGGTTAGAGTTAAGTTCGTTAAGGACTTCTATATCATATGAAAAATTTTCGGTTTTAATTAGCGTTAGATCTATCGTGCTAGGCAAGTAATCATTATCAGGAAAGTGTGTGTGACCATCGGGGAACAGTAATACGTACGAATTTTTGATGATGTAGTCCTGGAGCTTGTTTCCGTTTGGATTGGACCTTTCGCAGTTCCAGTCTGCATGTTTACAGTTGAAGTCGCCGGCGATGATGACCGATGAGGACAGCCTGAAGATTTGATCGAGTTCGTCTTCCAGGAGTTTGGATTTTGGTGGCAGGTAGGCAGCCACAATCACTGTACGATTGTCTAGCTGCACTCCCACAGCTTCCAGGTTGAGTGTATTTATGGGTACCTCGGTTACGTTGATGTCCTTTTTGACGCATATCATGACTCCGCCTCCGGTTGTGGTGCTCGTCCTGTCTTTGCGGTATATGTCATATCCTGGTATGCTGCAGGTTGACGCTTTCTTTTCATTTCGGTTGAACTTTGTTTCACTCACTATCATAATGTCTATTTCGTGATCTTGAATGAATTCTTTGAGCTCAGTGAGTTTTTCTTGGATGCTATTTGCGTTCCAATGTGATATGGTAATTCGATTTATGGAAAAATTTTTACTTTTCATGTTCATGCTGTAAGGTGTTATGCAGCTGTTCTGCATCAGATGTGAATTTTTCGATGGCTACGGTCATAGCGTCTAGGTTAAAGCGTTGTTTGAGATTTTGCACTGCTTTTATGAGTCTTAGGATTTTATCAAGATCTGAAGAAAGTTCCTGTATTGTTTCGACATCAATTTCTGTTTGTTTGTTCCAGGCTGTATGTGTGGTTGCGGTTTTTCCGGCCAATGTAGGAAAATTAATGTGGTTGTTGCTGGGTGGCTCGGGGGCCTTTTTTGTTGTATTTTGTGTTCTTTGCTTATTCCTGTTGTTTTTAATTGTCGTAATCCTGTCTTGATACACTTTACATAACCTACTATTAGCTCGATGTTCTTCTCCACAGTTAACACAATGAGGTTTTGTTTCTTTGTCTTTCTTGCATTCGGCTGTTATGTGCTTTTGGTCGCATTTTACACATCTAGGAGGATTGTTACAGTTTTGAGAGCCGTGGCCAAACCTTTGGCAGCGATGGCACTGGGTCGCTCCTTTGGAATTTTTGTATTTTTCCCAGTACACTCTTGTGTAGCAGATGTGCTTTATTCGTTTTACTTCGCTGATGTCGGTACCTCCGTAGAAAGAGGCCATGTATAGTGGAGCTATATATGGTGGCGGCGCTTTCTGCTTCATCATGGCTATTCTTGTGCAGCCATAACCTTTGTTATTTAGGTCGTCTTGGATTTCTTTAGTATCCATGCTAGGAAGGCCCTTGATTACTAAGTGTTTGATTTTTTCACTTTCGTTTGTGTACGTGTAGTACGAGTAGTTTTTTTCTTTTAGTGTCGCCTGAATCAGGTTATAGCTTGCCTTGCTCTCAAGGAAGATTTTTAAGCCGTCCTTGGTATGTTGGAAAATGGCTTCGCCGTTGGCTAGATCTCTTATTGCTTTGATGAATCCGCTAAAGTTGTTGACTTGTGTGGTGACCACTATTGGTGGGACTCTGTCTTTTTTTTGATGTTTTGTTTCTTTTATTATTTTGTTTGGTGTTGTTACCCTTGGAATTTTTTTTTCTTTTTCTTTGTCGTTGGTTTGGTTTCTGGTGCTCTCATCGCTAGAGGAGTTGGCATCCATGTCTTCGTTTTCGTTGTCAGAGAGTAGGTTGAATCTGTTTTGAGTTTTAACATGGTGTTTCGAGTTGGATTTGTCTTCCATTTTGCTGGTTGAGTGTCTCTTCAATGTCCTTCTGGTTAGTACTTTCGCGCTTCCATGCGCTTCGTCCTTCATGGGGAGCGATATGGAGATGATATTTTCACTATTATTTACTATTGATGCTGCCACAACGGCATTTAAGCCTGGTGCGCTTGCGACGCTCGCGCTCGGAAACACCGGAACACTCGCCACGCTAGGGGGGGATACGTCCACACTCGACGCGCGCTCGACGAGCACTCGATTCAATGTTCGCAGATGGTAATGCGCCCCCTTTTTATACGCTCGAGAATGGGCTAGGAAGTAAGGTAGATGTGAGGGGAGTGTTGCCGACTGAACAGTTGTAGAGAGGGGAGAGTTTCAAGCAAGCCTATAAAAAGAGGGCTCAAGTTTCGTATCGCATCATTCGACC